TCACCGGAGCGAGGTAGACACCCACCAGCAGATAGCGCCCCTTCCCCAGTTGATCTTCCGCAGCTTCGAACGGTCCTGCAGTGTCTATCGAAAGAGTATATGCGTCCGGGTGTGGGACACGTCTGTGGGCCTTGCTCTTCGATGCAGCAACGACACAGGCCCTGCATTCCCTACTGTAGGGCAAATGCCCGTTGAGAAGGTGTTTCTGCCAGGCATTGAGGTCCATCCTCCTCAGCTGAGGGTCGCCCTTCTCCAGCGACTCTCTGACAGCCACCACCAACGCTGCCTTCAGTCCAGGAGCCCATGCTGCCCATGACTTCGATCTCGCAATCCTCTCCTGGATGGAGTCTCCTCGATGGTCCTCTCCACCATGCCCTTGTCCTCGGACTCCTTTCGAGCTCCCTGAGCCTTGGCATGTTCGTGCCCAGCCGCGTCGGTTTCCGGCGGGGGTGCCCCATTGGTCCCTGGTCGAATCTTACTTCGAAGAGGTCCCACATTGTCTTGACCTTCTGCCACTCCGGCCACGACCAGTACGTTGGGTAGCGAGGATGCCTGTCCCCCTCCTCTGTCTCTCCTTCTGCGGTCTGGTGCCTGAATCGTCCGATCTCTTTCTTCGACTCCCTGGACTCCCCCAGGTAGGCTTCTGGATCATCAGGCTGCTCCAATGCCGTGACCACCTTTTGAGGCGAAGCCGCCTTCGATGCTCGGTGGTGGAGATAAACCTGTCTCAACCACAGCAAAGTGTCGTCCTCCACCTGCTGTTTCAGAACTGGGTCCAGATTCGGCAGGCCAAACCTCCCGGCTCCTTCCCTCTCTCGAAGTGGTGGAGGTCCGGGTTGTCGATACCGCAACCGGCTCATCGTCCTGCACGGTGGGCCTCCGAGTAAGGCTCGTAGTGTGCCGCCATCGGCGATCTCCAGCAGGTAGGCGAAGACGTCGTCCCTGAGGATGTTCATCCCTTGGTCAATCACCGTGTCGACACAGAGTACTGCTCTGCCTTCAGACTCGAGCTCCCGTTGCCAGAACTTCTTGGTGTCCCCGCTGAAAAGGTGGACTACCACTTCTTTTGCCTTCCTCACCCTCCTTCTCTCATGCCTGTTCCACGGGAGAGACTCCCCCGTCCATCCAACCTTAGGCAAGATCCTCACGAGGATTTGAAGAGGGACTTCAGGAAATAGCTCTCGCAGTTCTCGTAGATGGTGAGCCTCCTCGACCTCTAACTCGCCTCGGCCACCCTCTCCCTTCAGAACTGCCAAGCGGGCTCTCTCCCTGACCAGACTTCGTTCGATCTCCTTGATGAGCTCGCGTCCCAAGCCTTCATCCACTGTTGGGCACATCCCTTCCACCATCACGTCCAACAGCGCTCCACTCGGGTCCGTGAGGGTGAACCTGTCCTTCTCCCAATAGGCTTCATAGCCCAGTGAGATCAGCACCCCAAGTGGAACGATCGTTTGGACCTCGTTCTGGGTCAAGAGGGTCTTCGTCCATGGAATCTGTCTGAGCATCACTGAGCCCTCTGCTAGTTCTACCCTGACTTCTTGAGCTCGATTCCATTCCTCCTCGGACTCTGCTCTTCGGAGACAGTGGGTCGCTCCACCATCGAGAAGGGCTCGATCATTGGATCTGACCTCCAAGCTGCTCAACTTGATGGTCTTGACGGCTGTTCTTCCTTCGTTGGCTGGCCTCAAGCTCTTCAGCAATGTCGTTGCCTCCGAGAGCAGGGCTTGAACCTCCCCCGAGCTCGCAGCGGGCTTCTCGACTTTCTTCTCATCCACTCCATCCTCACTCGCAGCTGGAGGGTTCTCCTCGGCCATCTCTCGCTCCATCTTCTTGGCGCTTACCCCCTTTTCAGCTTCCTTTTTGAAGGTCTTCACGTGCTTCTCGGGGTCGGCCTTCGGCTTGACTGTCGGGCACTCCTTTTTGGTGTGTTTCGTTGATGAACACCCAAAGCACCTGCCTTTCTTCTCCAGGCTGCCCCAATCGTGCTTAAACCGGCAGTCTTGCCCCTTCCTGCACCCGTCCTCAGAGCCCCAGAACCTGCAAATCTTCTCATCGTGCTTGCCCTCGCCCTTGGCCTTGCCGGAGCCCTTTTCCCCCTTCTCGTCATTCGGCGCCACCATGGCCTTCACTTTTGTGGGCATAGGAGCCGTCCTGGCCTCCATTGTGGGCTGCAGTTCACTGATGGCCAGGGACTCTGCTTCCGCTGTGAGCATATCCGAAAAGCTCAAGACCGTCTCCAGGCTCGGTGTCACATCCACCCCCAACGTAGCTCTCGTTGAGGACATTCGGAATGCCACCTGGTTCGAAGTTTTTCCCACCAGTTCCGACATCCGATCCAAGGCGCCCAGCAGCAAAGTGGCATCTGGAGTAGCAATCTCCAGCTCCTGAGCTCGCCTCAAACTCCGGCGCCATCCCCTCAGCGCTTCCACCACTTCATTCATCGTTTGCGGGGCCTTCGGTTCAACTAGCTGTCGAAGGAGTCGTGATCGCTCAGCCAAGCCTCCTGGTTGGTAGCGTCTGAGCAGGGCATACAGCGCCTCCACTGAACTGGTAGTCCGGCTCGAGAGGATCTCTGCCTTGATGCTCTGCGGTACGGCATTGAGCAACATCAATTGCCCCCTTTGCTCGAGCCGACTCCAAACCCCTGAGCACTCGACTGGGACCCTCGGCCGAATGTACAGCCTTTGGACCGGTTCAGCCTGCAGCCACTCCCGATAGGCCATCATGGCGAAGCTCAACACCTCCTCCCACCACTTCCAACTGGTCGCACTCAAATCCTTCATAGTTGGAGTCACCAATTGAATCCAATCCCCAAGGATGATTGACCCCAAATCCCCTTCATGGAGGTCCTGAAGAGGTGGCAGTTCCACTGACCTGATGGCTTCAGCCCATTGGCCCTCTGATGAAGTGGTCCCCAACTGCCTCAAAACTGTCTGGGCTGCCTGTTCCAGCGGAGACCCTTTGACCATGTGTCGGGTTGCGTTCTCATTCCTGGGGACCTCTCGCTCTTGCCCTCGATGGAGTCCACCTTGTAGGCCCCACCCTCCAGCTCCCCAGGATCCGGGCACGTCAGGTACTCCCAAGCCTCGTGGAACCGCACCTCTCCCCATCGATGGCCACAGGGAAGTCCGGGATCTTCACATCGGCCCATGCCTGATTCGAAGGCTCCATCCTTCCCTTCACAGGGGTGCACGGGGGTGGATCCTTTGGAGGTGATGGTGGTGGAGTCGAGGTAGGAGGTCTTGGGGCTTCTCCACTGGCCTCTCCCTTCACCTTTTCTCTTGACGACTTGACCTCCCGTCTCAACTCTCCCAGCTCCTTCTTCAGAGCGGCATTCTGCGTCATGACTGCCCGGAGGAGTTCCTTGACGTCCATTGAAACCCCCCCCGCCTCATCCACAGGCTCCACCCGTCCTGAAGGTTGGGGCCCGTCCGCAGCATCTCCATCCGGCAATGCCGCTGGCCTCATGGCTCTCAGTCGAGCTTCTGCCTGAAGTCGCTCGCTCCAGAACGGGTTGACCGGCACCACCTTCGTACCATCACCCTTCCCTTTGCCATGAGCTTCGCCCCTTCTCTGGGGCCCATAGGACACTGGCGGTCCCTCCGCCAAGACCATCGCCGTCACCGGCACCATGGCATCTCGAGCGTCTTCCAGCGCCAGGACCTCCTCTTCCTTCGCCGACTCCATCGAACCCTCCTCCGGGGTCGAAGATGCGGCCGCCGCGCTCCGCTTGGCCATGGGGACCAGCGACCAGCGCACCCACACGGTGCCCACTGGGTGGACTTACCGCCCCTACCAACACGTTGGGCTCATAACCTGCAGCAGTAGCGGCTACCCTTTTGCCGCTTGAACAACAAAGGGCTTCGTGTTTACCCTTCTTTGGTACACTTCTTGATTTAAGTGCGTGTTCTCGCACCTTGGACCCTCATGAAAACTTGGTACACTTCTTTATTTGTGCACCTGCGATTTCGACCCGTTCTGAGCACACTCCCATCCACCAAAATCGCCATTTCAACTGAGACTTGTCACGAAAACAGAGCTTCGATGCCACACCCTGAAACGCAAATCCCAATGGCACGGGCACATCCAACACCCCAAAAACACGACTCTCTAATCCCAATGGAACTGCGCAGTAATCTGCAGATCTCACCAAACGCTGCGCCTGTGCAGCGAAACGCATCACGTTTCTTGCGCGACATGTCTTTTTCATGCAAATCACAATAGAATAGCGGCGCAAACTGACACGTGACACATCCATGAATAGTCACTTGCAAAAGCTTCCCCCAATGGCAGCGCCTTAGCGCTCTACCGCGAACGGTTGCGAACACTTGCGGACGGTTGCGGACGGTTGCGGACGTAGAAACAACGGGTCACGAACAAGGCTCCACCCCCAGACCCCCAAGAGTTAAACGAGAACCCTTCGCTACGCATTCGGGAATAAAAAACACACACCCAGATCGATCATGGTTGTAATTTAGGAATTGTTTTTGAAGGCAACAATTTTAGAACAAATATAATTCGTGGTTAGGGGTCTCCGACAAACGCTTACCGCGAAAAGCCAAGCGCGGTCTCAATAGGTGTAGAAGATCTGATCTAATTCCATTTGCGATTGGAAGAACTAAGGGGCCCCCATAAGATGTAAAGGGCATTGTACTTTCGTACTTTGGCAGTTTATAAGGAAAATGTCCTCAATAGACTTCAGTACTTGTACAAGCAACGGTGTGTATTGCTGTGAGATGCTGCCAGCATTGTTTTCGTAACTTGGGCAACATGTTGTTGGCACAGAAAAGGTACTTAAATGCAGTGGCCCCAAGAAATAGCAATGACGAACAGTCCGAACACGAATCTGCGCGCTGAACATCTTCAAGGGTTCACAGCCAGGCCGCTGGAATGTTACCAGCGCTTGGTTTTCCAGGAGTGTTGTATTTTTGCAACCCTTTTGATTTCCATTGTTACAAAAGTGTGTGTGCTTGTGAATTGCTTGCAACACACCTGGGCAGGCAGATGACATAATCAAGTTGCCTGAAGCTGATGATCCTGTTACTGCGCGGAGAATTGGAATTCCTTGGAAACCCCAGGTGGGGCATTTGGAGTTCAGAGTGGCAGTGGCAAAAACTTTTGACCCTGAGGAAATAGCCCAAGTCTTCGGCGTAGTTGTGATAATGATCTGGGCAGTTCAGGCGAGGGCAGCTATATGAGAAGCAACACGATAGTCCCGCGCCTGAACCAAACGTCTAGCAAAATACGTTGTTGAATGTTCATCAATTTCTAGTTTCTCGTTCTACAACATGTATGTTTCATTTGTTCTGTCTGCGTGTGTCCAAGGCCAAGGGTGTTTTTAAAATTTGTTCTTGTCCTGCTCAGACTGGAAATATGGCAAGGGCCGTCTCCGAATAGAACCATTGAAGGTAATCACAGGAACCTTATCATGCATTAGGCCATTTGTTAGAAATGATGTCTGTAATCAAACATGCACACATTATATCATGTATCTCAGCAACGACACAAAAGATACGTTCTTGAGGGCTGAAAAATGCTGACGTTCTGCAGTTCTGGAATTGTTGGATGCTCTCATATAACAATTTCAAGAGAGGTCAACGAAAGACGCCTCCGCGAAAGGTAAACACGCAGTCGCGAAGATTCGGGACAGATTTGGCGAACTTGTCATGCGCGAAAGCTTGCGAAAGCTTTTGGAAAGCTTGCAACAGCGTGTAAGTTCAGATTTCTGTGCGCGAAAACTTGCAAACATGTTTTTGCAAAGAATGCAGTGCGTGAAAGCCAAAACACAAACTGCGAAAGTGTTGCGAAAGGAACTTGCGAAAGAAGAGGCCTTTCGAACCAACTCTCGATATGTTTTGAATAACACCCATGTTGGAATGTCAACGTGTCAGTGAAACACAAGATCTTTTCGGAAGGAGTCGATAGGACAAGCGCAATAACTGAATGGATCGGACGATGGTGCTCGTTCATTGCTGTCCCAGATCGTTCTCGGAGCAACGAAATGTGCCATGGTGCAGGGCTTGGCTTGACCTGTCAAGACGAAGGCAGTTTCTAGCATTCATTTTTACAACCATTTTGCCATTGCCATCGAAATCGAGAGCGACATAAGTGTTTGAACATGCAGCTCCCGCCTAACTATCCACAATGATAGTTGTCCTGGCACACAAACTTAGATTATATAGCCAACACAGGTTGCATTTTGAGTCGTTGCCCAGGCATACGTCACTGAAATCTGGTATTTCACCCCGCCAGCAAATGAAGATGGGTTTTGTCCTCAGACATGATTCTGAACAGGGAAGAGGTTGAGGATGCAAAGTTGCGAATGTTCGGATTCTGACTTGGTCAAAAAAACGTCAAAACTATTTGGGAATGAATGGAGCAAGCAGATCTCTTGATTGATTAGAAGCGCGGTTCTGAAAGGACGGGAACAAGATTCAATGCATCGTTTCAGGGGGCAAAACACAGTTTAACGTTCAGCAAACAAATTCAGATAGATATATGATATATATATATATAGTAGGTGCAGCATGTTGCAGGCATACTGTCTTTTAGAGTACGGACATGAGACACTTGATCTGCTGCGCGACTGACCTGTGCTTGACTTGCTGTACTCGTAGTTGAAAGTTGGATGTCGCTCTGCAAGATCATCAAACTTCGCATGACAGAACACCATGAATTCATGAATTGTGGAAGTCGGAAGACCAGTGTGAATGGTTTCGGCAATGTGAGATCGGGCGCAAATTCCGCACGCTTGCATTTGGCAATAGGCCACGCACTCCTTTGCTCTTTGACGCAGTAGGCATGCTTTGTGGCCTCGTGCAAGCCTCTCAGTGCTGCTGCGGCTTATCGCCACGAGCTTCACTGCCGCCTTCATCCGTACAATCAACACGGTTGTAGGTTCGAGGCACTACAGCGTTACAACGTTTCCAGGCATGTCGTATATAGAAGAGTTTTTGGTGACTTGGCGGTGTTCAACTGTGTCAAGACTATCCAGAATATACGGACAACGCAATAGTCTAGACTGATGGTGGATAAACATGTTTGTTTGGGATTTGGTTGCTTTGGGCTGAAGATTGAACCCTAGGCCAAACCATCAGATCACACAACACAGCAAAGAACAACACAAAGCAAACGAGCAACAAGAAAGAAACAAAGCATTGGAGCTGGATTCGTTGCAAAGTGCTCTCACGCACAGTCCTTTTTCGATCTTTTTTGCATTTTCGCGACGGCACATGAGACCAACTCGCAGAGGTTTTGGTACGTTTTGATGAAGTTCGATACGGTATGTTTCAACATGTTTGAACCGCCACCCGCTATTTTATTTCGGATCTAAGCCAGCACTAAGTAAAGATGCGCTGCGATGTGCGCATGGACTATGAACGTATGTGGCGTGAGACCCAATGTCCACAAGCTGCCAAACATTGATTTGAGGGCTGGAATAACCAGTTCTTCTCCCCAAGAGTTGATGTTTATTGTTTTCTCTTCAATTTAATCTCCGCTGTTTTGGTTTGACCAAGCAACCCCCGCTCTTGTTCCTATTTCCCCGTCAGGTGAGTGTTGTTGGATTTTATGTCAGCTGGCGCCCTCCTCCTCCTCCTTCTCGTCCTCAACCACGAGTAGCGGCTGGTAGTGACTGGTAGTGTTCCCTGCTGGACCTCAACTGCGAGGGCCGTGTGGCAGTGTTCCCCGCCGGACCTCAACTGCGAGGGTCGCGCCCCGGTCCTCAACCACGACCTTGGGCTGGCAGTGTTCCCGCCGGACCTCAAATGAAGCTAGATCCACCAACACACAATTCCGAATACACAACCACAACCCCACAAGCACAACCCCACAAGCACAACCACAAGCACACCCACAAACACAACCATGCCACAAACACAACCACGAACACAGATCAATGAAAGGTGCAGGGAAGGACAAGGCAGGAAGCAAAGCAGAGGAAAGGAGATCCACTGCACGAAGGACAGCCAAGGAAGAAAAGTGCATGAAGCAGTGATCAGTACTGGAGCCAAAGCATTGAACACATGGAAAATGGCTTTGGGTAGTGGAGCAGAGAACAAGAAGAATCAGCCATAGCATGTAATTGTGATGTTGGGTACTCCTTTTCCACGTTTCTCTCTTTCATCCCTGCGGTGTGCAATCTTTTGTGATTTACAAATTAAGGGAGCCCTCCTCGTGCCTTTTGTGTAGCCAAGTTTCCAAATAGACCCATCGCATAGAACCTTTGTGAATTTGAGCAGATTTGAGCGGGTGCAGAGACGCCAGGGTGGAAAGGGGAAAAGCTGCTTGGGCCTTTTGCAGTTGTCATGCGGTGAACATGAGGTGAACACACTAAGACGGCGCGTCGGGGGATTTTACAGGAAGGACAATTTCATGTATGATGGCGCACTAAGATTGCACATCGGGCTCAGGCATCACTTCATGAGAAAGAAGGGCAATCAATCATGTGTCGACAGAAAGCCTGCTTTTTTCTTGCAGGTTTTTGCTTTTCGTGGTTGAAGTTTTTTTGTTAATATGCCATCTATATAGCCTTTTTTTGTTTCCATGTGCCATCTTAGTGTGATCCCCTATCGATGTGAAACCCCTTTTCTTGAGCCAAGCCAAGTGGGGTGGTTCTGCCACCTCACTCCCGCTGCCTGCTACGCAGGCATTCCTGCGGCTCCGGATGGTTTTTTCATCTCCCTCCACCCTTCGAAAAGTTCGATCCCACAATGTGAGGATTCGCTCTCTGGTGGCAGGGCGTTGGTGCGCACCCTGGGCTCTCTTAGCCCGCGGCCTCCTCACATCCAGGGATCCCTTCTCAGCTCAGCCGCCGTGGGCAATCTGGTTTGGGTTCCCCTGCACCTTGCCGTCACGTTCGCCTGGAAGAAGATGTCGGATCTTCTCGTCGATGTGGTGCCAGATGATCCTGATGGCGCCGCCTCTGACTCGCTACCCATCCTTGCCTGAGCACTATCGGCGTGATCTCCCACACCCTCCCCGTTGTCGCCTCTCTGATGATGCCAGCCCCATATCTCGGGATCTCAAGGCCTCTGGATCTCAAGTGCCGGCGCTGTCTGGATCTAAAGAGCTCTAGGCCCCAGATCTCCAAATCTCTTGATGTTTTTGGATCTCAAGGCCAGGCCCTCGACCTCTCCAGGCAATACTGTAGATCTTTCTAGACCTTTAGATCTCTTTGGTTTCAAAGCCTCTAGAACACTGGATCTCTAGACTCAGACCTCTCTAAATCCCTGTGGAGCCCAGTGCCTTCTGCTTCTATACACCTCTAGACTGTAGACCTTGACCTTTGCGGCGGGGAGGCTAGATCGGCTAGATCTCGTACTTTGCTGCTGCCGGAAATCCTTTTAGGATCTTTTAGGCACAGGGAACGCTAGATCTTGCCAATTTTTAGCGCTACCGGAAAAATTGTTTGGATTACTGTAATGTTTGGGAAGAAGCTTTTGGGCTTAGAGCTTGTGAAGACAGTTCTGAGAGTAGGGTTTAGAAGCAGGTTTTGGATTTGGATTTGTGAACCGTCTATCATACCTCAGCAGCCGATCCAAGCGTCGACTGCTGCACCGACCTTCAGTGTTCCGCACCCGATCGCACGAGTGGTTTCGCCGCTGCCGCTGAACGGCCATGGTGGCCAACACTCCAAACATGCAGGTGGACTCCAGCCAACGACCGAAGCGGTTGGGCATACCCTGTGAACGGTCAAACTGTCAAACGGCCGCTTTTCTTGAGCCAAGCCAAGGTGGTTGCCAGTTGAAAAAGAGGGGTGGTTCTACGACCTCATGACCTCATCATCAAAATACGGTCAAAACCAATTTTGAAGGGGATAGTCTAGGGGCATCCTGGAAATGCTTTGTGTTGTGTTTTTGTTGTGGGCAAATTTCTAAAAAAGGACACAGGCTGCAATCAATTCCACCATTGAGGTCCCTACTTCTTCAAAAAATTAGTGTCAACATGTTGCAAATGCTTGAAGGCGAAATGCGGTAGTCCACGGGCGCTAATGGAACTTATTGTATATATTATATACATTTATACATAGCATGTTTTTCTCCTTTAGATTTTCAATAATAGTTCTATGCCGTTAGTCTGGAATTGTTTGGGGGCTGATCATTCTCCTCAGACACCCTCGGCCGATTGCTAGAGGGGGGGTGGTATTTACAACTCAAGACTCCACATCAAAATCATCACCAGCTAGAGACAGCGGAACGTGAGCCGTACACAAAGCCTCAGAAAACTATTCCTCCATGCCAGTACAGGTCCAGAGAGAGGGAGGAGTACTGCGTTTTGATAAAGGCGGGGAAGCAATTGGTTGGATCGAAGGGGTTGGGCGGATGTTGCGCGGAGGGAGACAGAATTCCAACGGCGCAGCTATTTCAATGCTCGGCAGCCGAAGAATACCTAGTATTTTGTTGCTCTTGCGCGGGCAGTTTGATCGCAGCGTCCAAAGAATCAGGGAAAGAAACACAAGAAAAACAAGGTAAGGGCCCCTTCAATAAGGCAGGCTTTGTGTGGCAGATGAAAGGTCATGTTTTTTAGATACGAATTCCAAAACTCCATTCGCTCCTCGTTTGCTTCGTTTGTTCAATCAGTTTTCAGTTGGCAAGGTCCTTCCCTTGCTTTCAAGTCTCCTTGCGCGCGCTATGGCCAACTTCAACTTGGTGTTGTTTGGACGGTGGGATATTGTGTTTGTGCCCGTGTGTGTGTGTGTGTCCACCCCTGGACGGGTTTTTTCCACTACCTTGTTCAACCACCTTCTACAAGCAGGGGGCAGAGGGATCTCCAGTCGTGGCCTCTGCCAACGAAGCTCCACACTGGACGATCAGGAAAACGTACCTGCGCCGTGATACCACTCCACTCTTCCTTGCTGTGTTTTGATGCCATGGTCGTTCATGTTTCTCCCCCTAAACCATTTCCTCCCCAGCAGCGCTGCAGCTTGAGCCGCTTCGTCACCGCAGTCAAGGGAAACAACTTTTGTTCAAACACCTACAATTTTCTCGGACTTTTCGCCATGCTGTTCCACCGCCATCCTTCCCAACGTGGTAACTGAGTTCACTCAATACAAGTGTCAGAGTGTGTCGCGCTGTGTCCCTAAGAGCGCTTTCCATGAATTTGTGGAGCAGGGGGACACAGCATTTCACTGGGACTGTGTCCAATGAAGCTACCAGTGAAACGGGATATCCTGCTTGGCCAGCTGGATGTACCTGCTTCTATTCTATTGGGCGATTCTTATGTCTCGCTGCAAACAGGAGGCAGGGTTCGTCGGCAGACTTGTCTGTCGGCCCCATTTCCTTTTCTACTCTCGCTGCCTAGAACAGGAGGCTCCTTTTCCTTTTCGTCTACCCTACCTAAAACAGGAGGCTTTGTTTCCTGCTTACTTACTTGGATCGATTCACTTGTCTCTCTCAAATATGGAACTATCCCTACCTCTACCTACTCGTCAATCAAGATCATACGACCTCCAACCGTGTCGCTTTGTAAAGGGCTAATGAGTCTTCGTCGCTTCACTTTTGGATGTGATTCTAAGTAAAGCTTGCCGCTGTCGCGTGCTTTGTTGTGCAGTAACGGTCTAGTGCACTAAAGTGGTAATGCAGTAACTAGAGTGACTGCAGTAAAGGGCTACTGCAGTAAAGGTCTAATGCATCGGCGAGCCAATACTGAAAGTTATGCTGACTCAGTTGAGCTATATATCATCCTTTGCCAAGTATCCTCTTTAGAATTTGGGAGCTTGAGCTCAAAATGACCCTCAGACTTTATAGACAATTTTCTTATAGAACCAAAAATCGACGTATCTGAAAAGCCACCACATTTTCAACATGGGGGTCCAAAAATGTCCGCTTGTTCTCTCGAAGTGGGTGACAACACCTGTCTCTATAGAGAGGGCACGCCATGTCACTAGGTCTTGTACAGGTCCGAACATTTGATTCTATAGAAAGCATCAGGAGCAGTAGAAGGTTGAGAATTGATTTTAGAATGGCTGGTGTGTTGTGAGGTGAGGCAGGTTGATATTTCAATTTATAGTATGGAAAGCATTTTGAGTAATAGAAGGTTGAGAATTGGTGTTAAAGTGGATGGTGTGCTGTGAGGTCAGGTCTACAAAGTCGAAGCCAACCTCTTGGGCCACTGTCATCCAACACTATTATAAAATCAATTTGAACCACTTTCAACCTTCATATGTCCCCAAACCCTCTTCTATAAAATCAAAACCAACCTTGGGCCACAGTTTTATAAAATCAATTCCAACGTTCATATGTCCCCACACTTCTTTATAGAATCAAAACCAGCCTTGGCTATGCATCATTGATTTCCCCATTTTTTGCTATCAACTTTCCGATGATGAACACCCATACCCTGAGGCATTTGATGCTATAGAGAATTTGCTTTTTGTTTTATAACTATAAAATCAAATCTCAAGGTGAACCGGTAATTCCACAGGGGATTATATATCAAAGTGTGTGTGTGTACCCCTTGTAGTCACAGGGATTCTTTTGAAGTTTGATGGATGACACTCACACATCTTGAAGTGTACCATGTTGTTGCAGTTTAAAGGAATGACACACACAAATCCTGAAGTGTTTCATTATGTTGCAGTGCAACCTTTGGAGTCACAATCCCTTTTTTATTTTGTTGCTGTTTTTTTTGCTGCCTTGTGTCTTGTGGGCCCTCTAACCTATTGCGCAGGCCTCCAACCTTGTCGCTATGGCCTCTTTCTATTTGTGGTGCCCTTCTAGTAGTTTATGCCGGTTGCCCTTAGGGCCGGCGCGTCCACTCTGCTTGACTGGACGCATTCCTATCCAGTCTGCAGAGTTGGGGTGGGCACAGGCGCTTGCTGCTGCTTGCTGTTGCTTGCTGTTAACTCGGTACTTTGGCCTCCAAACTTAGGTGATGGCCTCTACTTTAACCTTCAACTTGCCTTGTTTCCTAAGGTTTTTTACTTAGGCCGGCGTGTGGCACCGCTGTCAAGTCCGTATGCATATCCATAAGTGTGTGTTTGTGTGTGTGTCAAATTGGTGCAGCGTCGCAGCGTCCAACACAATCATTCACCCAAGAGGACTTTTCGATTTCAGTCTTGGCAGGCCTATTGCCAGCTAGTGCGGTATCATATTGGCACCATCTCCTTTGGCAGCTAATCTGCACACAGAACTGACTGTGGCAAGTGAGATAGGTCCGTGCTTCCGACTTGGCTCTACTCTTATCGTGTTGATGTTGTTTAAGTAGCGCGCAAGTTCTCTCAGGGTTGTTTGTGGTTCTTGTCAGGTGCATTTCTGTCGGTTGTTGGAGGCCTTCCAGCGTATGCGTGCATCTCAGTCCGAGTCAAGGCTTTGGTTCTGGCGATTGCGTCGCAATCTGAAAGTTCGGGGAGTTGATGTCTGGACTGTCCATGCATTGATTGCAACTGCTCAGGTAATTGGCTTCAACGGCATGTTTTGTGGGATTGATGCCAGAGATGGTACAAAGCCACTCATGACCAAATGTGAAGTGGTATACAGCGTTCGTCCATTAAGATCCCCCTTGGTTATCCCATACTAAAATCCTGGGGGTTGACCCCACCGATTCAGAAATTATTCCATTTCAAAAAAAACTCTTGGGATAGCATGTCAGGTAGAGCGCAGGATTTAACAAAATGGCTCCGACTGGGCATGCTGGATTGTGAAAAATGGGGGTGCCAAGGTAGTTCACAGGGTTGGGCGCAGGAATCCAAAAAAAAAGGTTGGGCGCAGGAATTTACTGAGAACTTGTGGTCAGGGAGGGCACAGGATTTTAATACATAAACGCCTGTAGATCAACTCCTGTAGACACGGCGTCCCTTTTACGGTACTTGTTCTTTGCATTTCCCTCTGTGGCAGTACATACGACATGGTACAACACCCAAGTAGGTCTGTCTCTTGGTGCTTAGTTGCCACTCTCAAAAGGCTGTGGTTAAGAAACAACACAGGCACGTCTTGACGCCTGATTTCCACAACCCCAAGGTCCCAATGTTATATATTTGCATTGGTGTGCCGGCGTGCCACAATATAAATCTGACTATCTAACATTCAACCGGTCCACTGCGCTATTCTCGTGCCCCAGCACATCCCGCACACTTGCTGAGATGGTTTCTGTAAGACCTGTTCGCGAACACTCCCCGCGACAAAAGAACCGCAAGCCAATAAGACAATTATCATTGACGCCCCAAAGACGTCATGTCAAACTCAGAAAGCCGCTAGCTTTTTTTAACTATTAATATATTACTGTATAGGTCCATTAGGGCCTGGCAGTAGGAGTAGGAGTTGCGCACACTGCCATGAGTTGGGGATTTGGGTGCCCATGCCATTCCACAAAGTGAGGACTTGCTTTGACCTGAGCCTCAGAATCCGAAGCAACAATAACATACAATAACTATCCCCCTTGGCACCGACGGCAGGGGTTGATCTACTGGATTTTACGTATTAAAGTCCTATGGGTCCAAGGTGATCTTTTGGTTTTTCATTGGTGCCCAACCTTTTTTTACCGGCGGTGGTTTTTAGACAATTCCTGTGCCCTAAGGTCCACCAGTGGGGGTCAGACAACAGGAAAAAACAACAAACCCCTGCCCGCTCCAGCTTCTCACGGAAATCCCACAGGGATCCCACCCACCCCTTTGAGTGGTTTGAGTGCACGAACAGAAAAAAGTGCACATTTGAGTTGCGGCGCTTACTACTAGGAGCTAGGGACACTACTAGGCGCTCCAGGCCTTACTACTAGGAGCAAGGACGCTGCTAGGGGCTCCTGGCCTTGCTACTAGGAGCTAGGGACGCTACTATGTGCTCCTGGCCTTACCATTCAGTCACTCAGCTCCCATCGTCCTGTTGCCCTCGCCACCTGTCCGCCTGTCGCATCCTGTCGCCCTGAACCCTTCCGCCTTGGAAAGCCCTTGAAACCTAGGATTTTACTGAGACTTCCTTTCCCTGTGGGAGGGGGTGCAGGGTTGGGACACAGGATTTTTCTAGACATCGTCGGCGGGCAGGGGTTTGTTTGTTTTTTCCTGTTGTCTGACCCCCACTGGTGGACCTTAGGGCACAGGAATTTTCTAAAAACCACCGCCAGGAAAAAAAGGTTGGGCACCAGTGAAAAACTAAAAGATCACCTTGGACCCATAGGATTTTAATACGTAAAATCCTGTAGATCAACCCCTGCCGTCGGTACCAAGGGGGATCATCATTTTCGTGCATTGTCCATTGCACCATGTTCCCATTCCATGCCAGGCTGGCTACAAGTATTTAAGATGTGCAGGTGCAGCCATTGCCTCAGAGCCTCAAAGTTCAGGGCATTAACCTGAGATACCGAATGCGCTGGACAAAACTGATGGCTGATAACTACCTTGCTGGACACAGCAAGACCAAGGTTGCAGCAGCAAGTTCCGCCAGTATGTTCTCGGGGATAGCGCTAGGTTTGCGTGCGCGTGGGAGAACTTGAGCAGCGCTGCGTGAAAGGAATCTTGACAGCTTTTTGGCTGTTTGGATTGAAGCTGCTGGGCCAGGTACATTGACTTGTGCTTGCACTCTGAAAGCTATTTGGAAGGAGGAATGAATGCCAGTAAGGCCAGCAGAGAAGCAAATAACAGGATACCCTCATGCATTGTTCGGAAAAAGCTCGACCTCATGCATGTTAACCTTGTGTGTGTGTGCATGTGTGTGTGTGTGTTTGCTTGAGGTCCTAAAGCGAGAGCTAATGCATGTCCACGAGCTCCAGGGTGTCTTCTTCTCAGATTTCTTGAGCCAGTTCCAACAGTGCAATTTGACTGCTTGCCAAGGCATTGTGGATGTTCCACATTGCTGGTGTAGGACTTTGCATGACAGGCCCAACCTTGTTTCTTCAAAGCGCAGACCACTCCCACCTTCTGGATCGTTGAACATGCCAATGGCAATGCAAGGTTCTGCTTACATTTTGGACCTGGCAATTCGTGTGGTGAGCCCCTCATGCAATGCGATTGCCATGGAGTGCCAAAGGTTGGTTTTACATTTGTTTATTCAAGGTGCCAAGCTTCTTAGAGACTAAAAGCGACTAAGTGGAGGCCATCGCTATTAGGTTGGAGTCCATCGCTACTAGTAACAACATAGCTTCTTAGTAACTAAACACTTCCTTGGGAATCATTTCATCTGAAGGTGCCAAGCTTCAGTGATCCCAACAGCACTCTGTTCATCCTTGAGACTCGTGGCGCAACTTGATGCAGATCGATGTGCTGCAGACCTCCATTCTATCACTTTGTGCATTTTGTGCATTGCCCATTGTGACCTTTTGTGGCACCAATTCTGCGTGCAAAGGTTTTTATGCTCAACGGGATCACTGGCATGTTCATTGGTGGCTTGGCAGAGTTTTTCAGCTTCTTTTGCCCCAAGCTGCCTCCTTCCTGCAGTCCTGATTGACAAGCCGGCACACCACAGTCCACTGATGAATTGCTCCCTGAAAGTCGGAAGCTTTCCCAGGTCGTGCACGAGACAACATACCCTGTAAATAGTCTCTCTCTCTATATATATATATTTATACTAAATATACTAATCTATACACAGTGTGTATATAAATATATAACTATATATGTATATATATATATATAATCACCCCCCCTAACCCTTAAAACTGGGGGGGGGACCTCCTAATGTGTAACTTACATTTTCCTATGGTTTTGACCTTAAAAATGTGTGAATTTTCCCCGTTGTTGGTATCTTGTGTACAGCCGAGTTCTGTCCATGGTGCATTCCGCCGCCATTTGGGTTTACAGGGCCCTTGAGCTTACTCGCGCTTACGCCTGCGTGAAAACGCTGTTGGACGTCGTGGTCGGGACCAGTTTCACATTGGTAGCGGAGCAGGTTCGGGTTCGTCCCACTGCATCCATCAACCCGTAAATCCACCGATCCAGGATTCGTTCGTGCATTCGCGCCGAGAATTTGCAACCAAGTGTTCTTGAAATTGCCCGCTGAGGCCTGACAGACAAGGAATGTCGGTCGCAGGACTTCGCTTTAATCCCGACAAGAATTCAGCAGGCGGTACTCATTTGGAGACCAAATGTGATGCTGCTTCGTTCCACGACTGGGAATTCCGCACCCGCCTTCGCATTCGTCTATGGAAAGAAGGCAGCAAACACACGACTCATTCCAAGAGGAGCACACCAGCGACAACACCAAAGAGGAGTGACATGCCTAATGGAGGTACTGAAGAAGACGCTGATCTCCCAGGCTTCCCTCCTGTCGAACCAGAAGATGAAGAAGAAGTAGTAGTCAGCAAGCCAGACATCAACCCGCTTGTGAACATTTGCGTGGAGATGCCTTTTTGCTCGCCAGGGACGTCGGTCTTGATGCCCTGACCAGTGAGGAAGGATTGGAAGACCTATTGCAGAAGATGAAGGCTTTCGTTTTCCCACGTGCCAATGAGGAGGCGAAGGAGTTGTTTCGTGCTGGCCAGAAGCACGGAGGTCCTTTGTCTGGAGAGTCCATGCTGTCGTGCACCAACCGTCGCAAACGTTGGTGGTCCGTGTTGCAGGAATTGGATTCGACCATGATGCTGAGTGACAGTCTTCGTGCCGAACTGTTGCTCGAATTGTCTGGTCTGTCACGCCAGGAGATCCTTGTGACCAAAGCATGTGCCAACCCCAAGAACTTCGAAGGATATTGCAAGGTTCTCGTTGACCACTACTCAGGAGTTCACCTCAGAGAAGGTGGCAAGACATGGCAAGGCCGCTCTTCACCTATGACTGGGAAGGGCAAGAGCTATTCAAACCATTCTGGCCAAGGCAAATCATTTCGTTCTGCATATGTTTCGTACCCTGAAGTGGATGAGCGTTCGTCGTCACCATGGGAAACCATGGAAGAAGCAGTTGAGACCAACTTCGATGAAGGCGACTCCCACGCCTGGTTGGGAGACGGATTTGATGAAGAAGAAGAAGAAGTGCAGGAGCAAGAGTTCGATTATCTTGAAGATGAAGAAGAAGCAATTGCCTTGAACGCAATGTTGGACCTCGAGGAGGCCGACGATCGTCAAGCAGGAGAAGCTATCCAGCTTCAGCTCGCTGCATTCAATGCATTCGGCAAAGCAAGCGGGGGGTTTCCGGGGCAACAAACGACACAATCTATTTCCACACCAACAAGAGGCGAGCCGCGGCTAGCCAAAGTGCCTGACGTTGCCTGGCACGTCGCCCTTGGGATCCTAAAGAAAAGAGGTGCAGGCCGAGCCGCAGCCAGCCAAAATGCCTAACGTCGCCTGGAAAGTTAAAGGCAGCGGCGCCTAACGTCGCCTGGCCTGGCCCAGTTGCCTGGCAGCTGAGTCAGAGGTGTGCAGAACGCAACCGACGGCCACACCCAGAAACGGCACCGTCGACGCACTCTGGATCTGCTTGGGCAGAGAAAGGCAGCGGCGATCTGCTTGGCCTGGGCGACTGTTTCACCGTGCGGCGTCCCGGGTGCCGCCCCGCAGGCAGGGGTCGGCGGATATCCTCTCCTTCCTTCTCAGCTACCATTCGATCGTAGGGGCCTTGCATGGACACTTTATTGACTGTTTTTCCCATATGCATCTCTAGTTCTGAAGATTCCATATGTTGCCTTTCAATTTCTAGGTGCATACCACCGGTTTAGGGACGCCCAAAAATGTAGCTTTCATTTTTAGAGGTTACCATCTTTGACCTGATTCGCACAGATTCAAACAAACACGATAAGCGGCCCGGATACATGTGCGCATATCATCCTTTACCTTTTTCTGCTTCTCTTCTACTCTACTGGAGAATGAATCCATGGACACGTGCCTGTTCTTCTATCTCTCTCCTTGTCAAAGTTACATTTGATCACCCCCCTCAAATTATAGGATTTGAAGTGGGGGGGGG